CCCCTTCCATGTTTTTGAATGGATAATCTTGGAAGATGAGGAGTAAGCATTATGCTCATGGTCTTAGCTTCTAATTTGCATTTGACAACTCTGTCTCTTCCAGGCAACATTGCAGAGGTCTTTCATTTACCTCTCTGCCTCATTTCACAGCTTTCAATGGACATAAAAAAGAATTTCAAAGACTCAAATCTCCACAGAAATCATAGGGATGTTTATTTTTAATTCAAAGGCTTTCGCGATTTTTGTCTATCTAATAAGTTCAGTCAGCCGCACGTGATGTTTCACAGACAAGCGAGATGATTACTTCTTTCAATAGGGGAAAAGTTTAATATTGCACGGCTTATATTTCCTGAGGACAGGGTAATGGGGTGAGGTCTTCATTGTCAGGTGTCCATCATACTCTTTGTTGACCATTTTTTAAATGTCCACTATGACTTAATTGAAGCTAACCAGTCTAATTCATCAAACACTTATCAAAATTTGAACATATTCCAATTTTTAACTTTGATACACATTTTTTTTTAAATGAATTTTTGTAACAATGTGAAATTAAAAAAAAAAAACATTTAAATATTTTAGATTTCAGATTGACCACTTGTAAAATGCTTGAAAATATGTAATTAAATTAAAACAAAAAATTAGGTTTGCTTTATGATGATTGGATAAATAGCTTTTGAAATATATACACGTGGTATGTACAGGAAAAATGAAGGTAATTACAGTAAATCTTTTTCTGCCCTCATCTTCAGTAACAGAAGGCTATAAACCTTGTAAAGTTAATTCTATTTCGTCTCTTTCTAATTTTTTGTGAGAATGGATAGTTTATATGATGGCATTTATCCTTTTTCAGGAATCTGCTGTATGTTAACTGTCAGACAAGATCCTATTTGCATTGATTTTCTTTCTGTTGAATGTTTCTAGTTTAAGAGATTTCAATGTGTTTAGTTGAATTTGGGTGTCTAAGTATTTGTTATTTGAAAGATTTGAATGATGTATGTAGTTCATTGAAGAATTATTAGACCACTAATGGTATTAACTTGACAATAACCCTTAAGCTCTTGGTCCATTTATTGGGTAGGGGAGTTGCATGTTCACATCACAAGCAATATGCAATGTTGCATTATTCAATCAAAATTTTTATTGCAGATACCATAGTAAACTTCCTTCTTTTCACTGAACTGAAAAGATTAAATATCCTTCAAATTCTTGTTTTGCAGGAAAGGAAGATATTTTAGGAGTAAAATAATCTCTCTTACTGTGTTCCAGCAGAAGTGTTAACTAAATGTTTGTCTTCTTGGAGTTGAAGAGGGAGGCTGCATGTTTGGTCTTCCCAACACATTTAAATAGTTTGCAAAGTGCAGATTGTTTGATATTGCCATTTTAACAAAGGGGGATATTGTCAGTTTGAAGTTTCCATCTCTTAGCAGAAGTCTTACCAAAAGTGAGGATTTAAGATTGTCTACAATCAAATCTGTTTACATAGGCCCATTAAATTGGGTTGTATTTCAACTTTCTATTGACAAGAGCGGAACATAAGTGGAGATCCCAACGTACCATGTTTGGCACTTTTAGCAGTAGATTTTATTGTTTTTCACCTTCTTTTTAAGGCGTAATTCCTCATTTGAGTGCCTTTAACACCTAAGATCGACCTTTTACTCATTAGTTTCCCTTGGGGAAATCCTTAACTTGTGTTTTTCTTGGAATCAAGTTGCATTAGTATCTGTTGACAAGCAACTGATGAAAGTTTACTATTGCATAATTTCTGATGAAGTTTTTAATGCAGATTAGGCAACTTCTGACTCCCATTTTGATTCTTTGCAAATTAATTCTGTTAAGATCTTTTATATAATAGTATTTATGAACTACAACTTGACAATTAAAGCTTTAATTTCACTCAGGAATGTCACTTTTTTACTTTTTTAAAGGAAAACTATTTTCATTCCTTTTTCCTTTTTTAAAGGAAAACTATTTTCATTCCTTTTTCAACTCTTAAATTCTTGTTCATTTTATTGGTTATTGAAGATAGTTTTAGTACAGTGTTATTTTTGATAAGAATTTGAATTAGATGCCTTTAAAATCACAAAAGTTAGGTAATCACTAATCAGTAGCATAATACTGCAAAAAAAAGAAAAAGATCTACAGTGTATGTAAAAGGAAGTCAACACAATGGCCTTACTTTTTATTTTATTTAAAATTTTTATATATTACGGCAACAAATACAATTTTTAATGAGATCAACCCACTATTTTACATAGATATAAGAATTTACATAATGTGTTGTGTAGCAGCCATGACATCACATTAGTTTCCTCACAACCTGACAACCAAATTAACAATTTATCTTGACATCTATGATTTGTATTTTATCTGAAAACCTGAATATATATGACTTTATAAGTATAGTACTACGAGATCCCTTTGTATATTAAAAGTTTATATATAAAATAAGAAACTTATACTTATTGTTGCCAAGCGAGTGGTGGTGAAATTTTAGCGGTGTATTTTTGGTTTGCAAAATGGAACTTATTTCACCATAGGTAGTTCTTCAGGAGTAGTGTTTTAAGAGAAACATGTTAGAAGGGATCACTTATCAGGAACCTGCATCAGGTTGTGGTTTAAAAACAGATTATTTTATCTACAGTCAGCTTTCTACATAGAATCCAATAGAGAACTCAACACGAAAAAAACATCAGAGAACTGCATTCAACAAGTTCAAAGATTCAGAAAAAGTTGGCTGCCAAAATTTTCATACACATTTTTTTGCTGGTCTTCATTTTCATTGTTTTGGTTCTTTGGTAACCTGTTTAATGAACAGTATCATTCCAAAACATCAAATACAAAGTGGGCTGTGGGGGGATTGTTTTGGTTCACAGATATGCAGCGGGTTTGTAAATATTTTGCTGGACCTGCCAATGAGGAGCAGATGTAGAGAATGAAATCATTGTAGGGCCGGTGATGATGTTAGATGGCTATTTTAGTTGGTACTGATATGTTTCAAGTTTGTTAAAAAAAAGCCTTAGTGATAACAGATGTATTGGAGCTGTCTGTCAGGAGGATCACACCTGATCAGTGTTAATCAGGCTAATTGGGGGGAACCTGTCCTTGTAAGAATGGCTTAGGTATACACTCAAAGATATTCCTCTGTACCCAATCACCCTGCAATTTTGTGAGAAAAATTTTACTTCAAGAGTTTATTTTTCATACTTTAAAAATGACACTTCCTTAGACTCTTTTTTTCACACGTTAGATCATTTAAGGGGCCTTCTTCAAAGGTTTTGTCAAATCATGTTTGAAGAGAGTGAAACTCGCTTTCCTTGTATCCTCTCAAACTCTGTGGTTTGTTGGTGATGGTTTGTTTTGATACGTTCAGTGATAATATTCACGTATCGGCCCTGCAGTCACATTTTTGTTGGTGGATTATATACGTGTATATATTGTGAGTCATGTGACATTCACCATGCGATCAGGTCTAAGAGAAAGACATGACCAATACACTACCAGATCTTATCACAGCTTTAAAACACAAAGGATAAAAGTATATGCCAACAATTAGATAAAGTTTTTTTTTTATTAAGAATTTGGAGATAGTTTTAAATATTGTCTTTTGTCGTTTGCAGATTTTCCATTTTATGAGTGTATGTACTCGGTAGTCTACTTGATGTAGATGTTGCCGTTGATTGAACAGTACAGAATGATAGAGTTTTGATGTTTATTTGATTGGCTAGATGTGACCAGTCACTTAGAGGAGTGGAATTAGCCAGTGGTAGCTCTTCTGATTATGCTTATAACCAGCTAGAGTGGTCACTCATACAAACTAAAATCGATCAAACATGATCATTATGTAGTGTTGTGTTATAGCCCAGCAATTTTATAGCCAAGGCAGCAAATGGTGCCATGAGTGTTGTTTTGTGTGATATCTGAGTGTGAAGTGTAAACATATTTTAATATATTTTTAATATTTGCAGTGAAATTGGTCTAAACATTTTAACAGTGTGATAGCTATTAAAAGAATTTTTAACAATAAAAATTAAAAGAAAAAAGTTACAAAAAATCTTGAAGCGAAAGTCTTGTGCAGGTGCACAAAAAGAGAGAGTCTGTGTTAATGTAATTTATGACCAATTAAATGTAGAAAGATATTAGATCTTTGTGATAAGCTGTGGTAATTTATGTTAAAAGTCTAGGCTTAGGAATTTTTGTAATGGTACATTGAGTGAGAGAGATTGACGGAGGACATTGTATAAGCGGTGACAGCTTAATCCATAGAACGATGGTAGATACAGGTATATGTAGCCAGACAAAAACAATGCCTACACCTGTATTTAGTGAATTTGTGGCATTTAGTAATAACCATATGTTACCTGTAGGACCTGACCAAGGTCCTTGGCTCGAGGGCCATCAGGCTCAGAATTCACCGACCAGTGTGAAATATGTGGACCTTTGGTTCATACATTAAGTTTATCACTGGCATCAGCTGTACTGTATTTCACACTCTATTACATATTTATTGCACAAGAGACACATTTCTTATTCCCATCTCAGTAAATTAAATGTGCATAAAAGTAAATTTGTTAGAGGCTGTCTGTGATGTTATCATGCTAAAATCTTATCATGTAGATATAAAGTGTACGAGCCAGGAGATTTTCAGATGCTATAATATTTTTAATTGCTTTCTGTTAAGCAGTGATTTGCTTTAAAGGGAAAATGTTGTTTGATTTCATTTCATAGTTTTTTTATGGTACCTAGTACCCTTTATTTATAAAGTCTGCTGTGGTAGAATATGTGTTAATTAATTGTTGTGTGATCTATTCACATTTTAACTATCATCACAAATGGCTTTTATAGGAACTTAAAAAAAAATCTGATTGTAAAATTAAAATGCAGGAATGAAAGTTTAAAGGCAAATGTACTTGAGAACAAGAAAATGAAGTTATTAATTTTTAGGGAAAGTATTCTTTAAATTGGTAAAAATTTCTAACAATATTATCTTTTCTGTTTTTCAGTTGTTTTAGTAGATTCTTCCAAATTTCCAAACCTAAAGAACTGGACAACACATATAAATGAAAAATCAGATTCCAACACAGGGGTAAGTAAGTCCTGTCACAGTGAAAACTGGGGTGGATGCATGGTGTGTTGAATACCTGACAGTTTTATAAAAATATTACATTTCTTGGGGCAGGGGAGGAGGGGAAGCATGTGAAATTGTTATCCTGTGAACACCATTATTGACCGCGGTGAAGCCGCCAAGCCACATTTCCCCCTAAAAAAATAATGTTATATTTTTTTCGTTATACTGAATGTATTTAGAATGCATTTAAAGTAAAATGTCATCATTGTAAACTGTACTGTAAACATTCTGTGCAGTTAGCAATTTTTACACTGCCACCCATTGTCATACATTTTCAACCGTTGTGATGTAATTTTACCCGGAGGGCGTGGTTTATGCATGCAGTTGGGTAATAGTACTTTTTAGCTCACCTCGACGAAGTCGAGATGAGCTTATGCTATACCCCCGGCGTCGGCGTCGGCGTCGGTGTCGGCGTCGGCGTTAGCGTCGGCGTCCCAGGTTAAAGTTTTAGGAGCAAGTCCCATTCCCAAGTAACTATAAGCCCTACCTGGACCAAACTTGCATGGATGATGCATCTAGGGATGGACACTACCAAACTTGCTTCGGATGCTGGATCTGACCTAGATTTTCCGGATGAGTGACCAGGTTAAAGTTTTAGGAGCAGGTCCATTCCTAAGTAAGTATAAGCCCTACCTGGATCAAACTTGCATGGATGATGCATCTAGGAATGGACACTACCACACTTGCTTCGGATGCTGGATCTGACCTAGGTTTTCCGGATGAGTGACCAGGTTAAAGTTTTAGGAGCAGGTCCATTCCCAAGTAACTATAAGCCCTACCTTGACCAAACTTGCATGGATGATGCATCTAGGGATGGACACTACCACACTTGCTTCGGATGCTGGATCTGACCTAGATTTTCCAGATGAGTGACCAGGTTAAAGTTTTAGGAGCAGGTCCATTCCCAAGTAACTATAAGCCCTACCTTGACCAAACTTGCATGGATGATGCATCTAGGGATGGACACTACCACACTTGCTTCGGATGCTGGATCTGACCTAGATTTTCCAGATGAGTGACCAGGTTAAAGTTTTAGGAGCAGGTCCATTCCCAAGTAACAATAAGCCCTACCTTGACCAAACTTGCATGGATGATGCATCTAGGGATGGACACTACCACACTTGCTTGGATGCTGGATCTGACCTAGATTTTCCAGATGAGTGACCAGGTTAAAGTTTTAGGAGCAGGTCCATTCCCAAGTAACTATAAGCCCTACCTGGACCAAACTTGCATGGATGATGCATCTAGGGATGGACACTACCAAACTTGCTTCGGATGCTGGATCTGACCTACATTTTCTGGATGAGTGACCAGGTTAAAGTTTTAGGAGCAGGTCCATTCCCAAGTAACTATAAGCCCTACCTTGACCAAACTTGCATGGATGATGCATCTAGGGATGGACATGACCACACTTACTTCGGATGCTGGATCTGACCTACATTTTCCAGATGAGTGACCAGGTTAAAGTTTTAGGAGCAGGTCCATTCCCAAGTAACTATTAGCCCTACCTGGACCAAACTTGCCTGGATGATGCATCCAGGGATAGACACTACCACACTTGCTTCGGATGCTGGATCTGACCTAGATTTTCCACATTTGAGACCAGGTTTAGATTTAGGAGTAGTCCCATTCCCAAGTAACTATAAGCCCTACCTCGACCAAACTTTCATGGATGATGCATCTAGGGATGTACACTAACCAACCTGCTTCGAATGCTGGATCTGACCTAGATTTTCCACATGAGTGAATTTTAGCCATATTTTAACCAAATTAGCATGGATGATGTATCTAGGGATGGACACTTCCAGACTTGGTTTGGATTCTGAATCTGACGTACATTTTCCAGATGAGTGACCAGGGTAATTTTTTTGGAGTAGCTATATAATATTATGGCCTGTTATGATTAAACTTGCATAGATGGTGCATCTAAGGATGAAAACTTGCAGTCTTGCTTTGGATGTTGGAACTGACCAAAATTTTCTTGATTACTAAACAGGTCAAAAGTTTTTTGAGCAGGTCTATAATTAAATCCAACTTGCATGGATATTGATCTTGGGATGTACCCTAACTAGAAAAAAAATATGATGTGAAATTTGCCTTACATGTAGATAACATTCGTCGAGGTGAGCTTCGTAATCTTTGATTACCTATGTTTGATAAATGTTTTTTAATGTACCAATCAACTTTGACCATTTAACATGAATGTATAACAATATAAAATATAGAAACGGGGATGGATGCATGGCGTACAGAATACCTAATAATAAATAGTTAATATGACCATTGGTCATATACGGTACTTAGTAAAGGCAAAGTAAAACTTAAATTTATAGAGAAGTTTATTTTGGTGCCTGTCCTTGCAAAAAGAGAATTTTTAAAAAAGATATTTTTGCGATAAAAGAGCTTGGCAGGATTGCAAAACAGTGCATGATAAAGGACTATTCAGTGATTAAGTCAATAAAGGATAAGGTATGTTTTTATTTCATATGTCCAGAATATCTGTAGACATAAAGAAATATTTTCTAACATTATTTAAGTGATATCATTTACAGTAATGGAGGAAATTTGGCAATCAGGATGAAGTCTCCACTGACTTGTATGATTTTTTACTCTCTTTTCTGAAATAAATATCATAATTTTGGCTAAATATACACAAATTAAGGGAGGCAAATTACTTCACCTTGTCATTTATTGCCATTTGATTGATTCAATTTATTTGTATAATTATGAGAAATACAATTTTTTTATGGCAAATAAAATGTGGATTACTATATTTCTGAAATTATTTTTTATCCATAATGTAGCCATTGTACTCATATTACATACTTGATGCCACCTCTTTACATTATATTTCCTAACCTTTAATATAAATGTATACATTACAGTAATGGGTGCCTTAATTTTTCCTGAAAAAAAGTTGAGTTTACTAATGATGATTTGTTTAGTCAGGCACAGTAAATTCTTGATAAAAACTTCTCCCTGATGTTGGTCCAATGGACACAAACTCTGTACAATAATCTGAAGCTGACATAAAACAACATTTTTACCTATGTTTTACAAATGACAACGAATCATTGTACAAAAACTGTGATCTCTATCTTGTAATACAAATTTTGAAAGAACCACACAGCTGTGACTATACTGCCAGAGTTGCACCAAACATGGGTCACACTTTGATTCTCCTCTAGTGGAAACCATGTCTAACATTTATCTGTAGGATATAATAGAACATTTACATTTGGTGCTGTAGAGTCAACATTTCAAGTCTTCCCAAGACACCTCTTGTTATGTTTCTCAGGGAATTTGGAAATGCAAACAATGGAGTGCAGTTGTTTCTGTTTCTCAGGAACTATGAATACTGGAGTGTATTTGGTGCATCAAACAGAAATATATATATATATGCATATTGTCAAAAAAATAAATTTGAAAAAAATTAAACTGATATAAAAAAGGGTCCAAATTTATTTTTAATGAAAGGGGTGTATCAGGAGTTGAATGCCTGTACATTCCATTGAAAAAAGAAAATTTTCCTAACTATGGGTTGTAAACCCTATTGATGCAAAAATCTATAGTCAAGTGTTCATATCTGTTGAGGTATTCAGAATTTTCGGCAGGTACCCTGTGGTGTTCTGTTGTTGACCCACTGTGCCTTGCTGGAAATTATAAAGTCCATTGTTCAGGAACATGAAAGGTGAAAATTCATAAGCAAACAGCTATACACAAAGGCCATAGCATGCAAGTGTCTTGCACTGATATGCCACTGTCAGTCCTAATCTTGGTTCAGTAACCCTTTGGGAGGGGGGAGGGGGGAAGGAATTTAAACATCAAGAGAATGAAAATTGTGGTAAGGGAAGCTGCTTCATTGTATATATAAAGTTTGCATCGTCATTAATAGTGAATTAATTAATTGTCACATGGTGCATTGGTTTTTAATATGTGTACATGCTATGCATAAGTCCAACTCGTCAATTCTCAAGACAGCCAGAAAGCATCGAGTTGATCCTTCCTTCTATAAATTTTACTTTAATCTGTATAAAATACTATAAAGGATAAGTATACAGATATACAAAGTATACAGCTGTGCTAATTGGGGATAATCTTATTAATCATTGTCAAAATCAGATTAATCTGGATTAGGGTTTATTGTCCATAGGAAGGGTTATTTGAGGAGATCACTAATATGAAGTACATTTAAAAGAGAGAAATTGCCCTCCCAGTTTTTGAGAAAAGAAGACTAGAATTAAAAGGCCATGAACAAATGACATTTTGGATTGCCTTCATCAAGGTTTTTAGATGTAAACTGTACAATCTGAACATAAAGCTAATGTTTCTAACATTTGGGTAGGAAGTGAATAATAGAGGGAATTTCATTTTATCCTTTAATGGTTTTAAAAGTTAACATTCGCAAGAATTTCTTCCAGTAATGGCTAAGATCAGGTTTACAAAAAGAAATGTTTTATTCTACAATTTTAGTTATTTAACCCAATAAAGTCATAACATTGAGACGAAAGTCTTACTCATTGCGGAAATCCAACACTTTTTTTGTGGTTAAAAAAAATGGTCATAAATCCTTTGCTCTATATATAATGTGCCTGTAGTATTTTGCCTGACCATTTCAGCAAAATGTTCTTAGAGTTTTATACTGGTATTTCCTGATTTCTATAGATTTTTTTTAAATTTTTGAAAATTGAATGTTGACAAAATTTTGTTCCATGCTTCCCTGGGTATATTTTCCATTGTCACAAACATTTTATTGTATTAGTAATTGTTGGGGTGTAATGGCGTATTGTGCTTCTGTAAAATTGATGGTTCCATTTAAAGGACCAATTTTAAAGGGTTCAAAGGTTGTATAGTGCCACAAAAGAATAGATTGTTGGGGACTTGTCGAACTTTTATTTGTTGGGGAATAGAAGGACCGTTTTTTAATTACAGCCTGTTAGAGCGATTATTGACACTCC